GAAAAGTAAAACTTTGTCAATGATTGTTGTGGCTGTGCCTTGTTTTCAATTTTAGGGTGACACTTGCTAACTAACTGAATAAGAATAGGCCATTGCCTTCTGAGATCACACACTGGTACATTCTACCTGCTATATCCCTTACTGTCTGTTGGTGGTTTGTCATAGACCATATTGGCTGACCACTGGTTATGTCCAGCTGAAGTTCTGGAAGGTTTATTAGGATGAAGAAATGTAGACACTGGTCAGATTTTTCAAGGAATATGCAATTAAGTGGAGTAAACAAAATGTGGCCCTCTCTTAATAAGAAAAATACTGAGTCTTTTGTCATATGATTTTTCCAGAGCTGGGAGGATGCATCCATCACAGACTTCTTCAGTTTTACTGAAGAGATAGATATTAGCTTCCAAAGCCGGCAAAGTAAACTGAAATGTAACAACCACCCAGTGTCTACAGCCCAACTGGAGACACTTAACAATGAGTAATATCATATCCTTTAACATTTACTGTGTTAGTTAACATTTAGCAGATCTTTGTTAAAGTAGTAGCAGATCTTTCTTAAAGTAGTCTCTTCGGTTACAAAAGTTTTAATATCATTCTCTTATTTAAAGCATTGGATTTTCCAAATTTCTCCTTTTGTCTTTCATAAACAGGGAGAAGAGGAAACTTTCCACTTATTCATCATCATTCATTCTGACTGCTAAAGAGATCCAGGCTCCTAACAGCTAATAAATGAAATGGAGAGGTTTTAGAAGACAGTAAATAAATGTACAGGACACTGAGGGAGGTATTTCTGATTCCTGGCAAGTGCAAACAGTGAATAAACAACCAAAGCAGGCCTTCTCAGTTAACACTTGGGCAATATCTGTTGTGGTCATTTAAGAGCACTGCACTATGTCTCCGCCCCAAATATTTCCTCCTCTTTTGCTTTGCTGACAAAAAAATTTCTGCTTAATCAAGGTTTTGGGTTTAGAGTAAAGGCTTTTATGAAATAAAAATATTATGTAACCCTGTAGTTACACTGTGCAACTTTCTCAAGCCCTTTATCAGAAAAAAACAGCTTTACACAATGATGATAAAAACATACTTGGAGCCCAGGAGAGGATGTGTAATCTCTCTTTATTGTTTCTATGGGTCACTGCTCAGTTGATGAAGAGAGAGCATTTCATGGGTCTCTGACAGTCTTATTGCCCTGATTTTTAAAAAAAAATTTTCTGTTCTATCCATTTCCTCTCTTTCTCTCCATGGTACTGGATCCTCTCCATTCATTCTTTGTGTCAAAGGTGAAGGAGACACAACAAATCTTTGACTGGGGATTCTAGACCTGTGTCATCCATTAGAGTAGCCACTAGATACACATGACTATTGAACATGTAAAACGTGACTAGTGTGACTGAATTTTAAATTCAGTTTAATTTGAATAAATTTAGATTTAAAAATTGAAGCTGTTAAACACCACTAAACACAACTTTATTATTTTGGTAGAACTATATTTCACTCCAGCCGTTGAAAATTTACCCTGAGTTGAGATGGATGAAGAATGTCAAATACACACTGGAGTTCAAAGACCTAATATAAAAAAATAACATAAAATGTCTCATTAAAAATTTTTATATTGGCCTGGTGTGTGTAGCTCATTCCTATAATCCCAACACTTTGGGAGGTCGAGGTGGGAGGACCACTTGAGGCCAGGATTTAAGACTGGTCTGAGCAACAAAGCAAAAGCTCCATCTCTACCAAAAATAGTAATAATAATGATATTTTTTATTATTATAGATAATATTTATTATTATATTGAAATAAAATTTTGGATAATTAAAATAAATGATAAATTATTAAAACAAATGTCATTTCTTTTTATTATTTAATGTGGCTATAAGAAAATATAAAATGATAAAGGTGGTTCTCATAATTCTAACTGGGCAGCATCTGGTTGTTTCATTGGGATAGCACTGAACTCTCTCTCTGCCCCAGACATTTCTTCCACTTTGGCTTTGCCAAGATGATTGAAAAAAGGCTCTGGTTTGTTCAAGATTTTGTGTTCAGAGTAAAGGCTTTTGTAGAATAAAAATAAATAATCCTGTAGTTATGCTGTGCAACATCCTCAAGCTCTTCATCAGAAAGACCCAACTCTCCAGGTTCTTACATTCTTCAGGATGCACCCACCTACTGAACACAAGCCATTCTCTTAGTTATATAGTTCGCTTTTCATAGCCTATATTCAGTGCCAAGTGGCTCCCCTCCTTCCAGGGTGAGAAAAACAAGGGATGGGGAACAAACCTCATCCTGAAGCCATCATCAGTTCCAATACTCAGCGTCACTGAGAATACCAGATCAAGTTGCCTTCAGCAGGGTGGGGAACAAAGACGTTGGGCCAAGGGACTTTTGATGGTTGGGTTAGGAGAGAAAGAAGAGGAAGGTATAGACAGATGGGAGAATACTCCAAGGCATGGAATGTTTTTAGGATAGCTAGTTAGGTGCTGATTTAAGAGAGAGGGGCTTAGGCATGAGTATGTTGGGTTTCTAGGAGGAATGTATATCTTATAAATGAGAAAGAGGTAACTGAGCAGAAGATGGAAAAAAAAATCCTAAAAAGAAGCTTTGGGACAGATTATTGGCAAGAATTCTTATGGAAGCATCAGTTTAAAATACATGACATTGTGATGCCCCTTCTAATGTCAAATACCTTCTTCCAGATTCTATTCCTGGTCTTCTGTGGAGCAGACTTAAAGGTTCATCCATTGATGCTGCTTCTGTGTGCCAATAACCCTATTTCATCCTTTATGCCTATTGCGATGTCCCTTTGAAGAGGCAGTTGAGTAGGTGGGGAGCAAACAATTTCTCTACAGTGTTCTAAGGTCCAAAAATGTAGAATTTCAATGGTCATTTATGTCATTTAAACCCATTGATACAGTTTTAGATCTTTACTGCATACAATGCCCTGATTTTAAAGGGGTGGGGGAAGAGAGAAAGAGAGACTGAGAGATTATGTGCCTTGCCTAGGATCAGTCACAACTCAGGATCAGCTGAAGCCCCTAGAAACAACTTAACTGGGTCTCAGAACTGGTTCCTGAATCCTAGTTGATGTCTTTTGCTAACATATCACTTATAGAAGTTTTATTTATTTTGGTTGATTATTTTTAAATTTTTATTTTTTGTGGGTACATAGTAGGTATATATATTTATGGGATACATGAGATATTTGCATACAGGCATACAATGCTTAACAATCACCTTGGGTAAATGGAGTATCCATTACCTCAAGCATTTATCTTTTTTGTCACAAACAATCCATTTATAATCTTAATTATTAATAAATGTACAAAAAAATTTTATCAACTACAGTCACCCTGTTGTACTATCAAACACTAGATCTTATTCATTCTTGTTCTCTTTCTTTCTTTTTTTTTTTAAGATAGTGTCTCACTCTGTTGCCCAGGCTGGAGCACAGTGGCACGATCATGGCTCACTGCAGCCTCAATCTCCTGGCCTCCCACCTCAGTTTTCCGAGTAGCTGGGACCACAGGCATGCACTATATATATCTATATATATATATATGATGTATATATATATATATATATATATATATGAGATGCATATATATATGGAATTGTTTTCTGTAGAAACAGGAGTCTATGTTACCCAGACTGGTTTCAAACTCCTCGGCTTAAGCAATCCTCCCTCTTAGACAACCCAAAATGTGGGGATTACAGGTTTGTGCCACCATGCCTGGACCAGGTCTTATTCATTCTATCTAACTATATTTTTCTACCCATTAACCATCTCCACTCCTCCTGACACTACCCTGGCCAGCCTCTGGTATCTATCATTTTACTCTATATCTTCATGAGTTCCATTGTTTTAATTTTTAGCTCCTACAAATAAGTGAGAATATGCAGTCTGTCTTTCTGTCCTGACATATTTCCCTGAGCATAATCATCTCTAGTTCCATCCATGTTGTTGCAAATGACAGGATCTTATTCTTCTTTATGGCTGAGTACACTCCATTGCGTATATGTACCACATTTTCTTTATTCATTCATCTATTGAAGAACACTAAGATTTCTTCCAAATATTAGCTATTGTGAATTGTGCTACAATAAACAAGTGAGTGTGGATATTTTTTTGATACACTGATTTCCTTTATTTTTGATATATACCCAGCAGTAGGATTGCTAGATCATATGACAGTTCTATTTTTTGTTTTATGAGGGACCTCCAAACCATTCTCCATCGTGGTTATACTAATTTATATTCCCACCAACAGTGTACCAGAGTTCCCTCTTCTCCACATCTTTGCAAGTATTCATTATTTCCTGTTTTGGATAAAAGCCACATTAACCTAGGGTTAGATGTTATCTCATTATAGTTTTGATTTGCATTTCTCTGATGATCAGTGATGTTGCACACCTTTTCATATACCTGTTTGCTAGTTCTGTGTCTTCTTTTGAGAAATGTCTATTCAGATCTTTTGCCCATTTTATTGGTTTTTTTTTCCTGTGGAGTTGTTTGAACTCCTTATACTTTCTGGTTATTAATAACACAAGGGTGTCAGATAGGTAATTTAAAAATATTTTCTCCAATTCTGTAGGGTGGTATCACATTAATTATAACTTGCACTTACAGTTTGGGCTCTCTGCAGAACCTGGGCTGCTGACAGGCTGCCCTTGTGTGTCAATGGTCTGGTGAAGATTACTGTGTATTTAACCCAGTACCTTTGAATTTTAAATGTGTTCTGGTCACAGAGAAAACATTCTCTGGAAGATTTTTTAGGAGATAAAAATGATGGTAGAAATTCTAAATTAATAAGCTTTGGGGTAAGAAAGTATTGCCAAAAAATATCCCTTATTTTAGAAATTTCCTGACCTGATCATCAAGCAATATTTTATGAGAAAAGGAAGAATTTGGTTAATATCAGCTATATTAAAACTAAATTAATTAAAATTAAATGCTATTTGTAAAAGTTTCAAAATCATCATTGAATAAATAGCTTAACTTGGTGATTACAAACTAAGGGTAGGGAGGCTAAAGCTATAAGCCAAGCTAATATATGAGAAAAATCAAATCTTATTTCATAAATATGGAAAAGTGTTACAAATGGAACTGTTTCTATAAGGAATGCAATATACAGTACCTAGAAACTACTGTCTATATATAGTAAACTCTATGCTGTATCATTTCATTCATTTTTTTTCAGCAAAGAGATAAATACATAACTGTTTGTATTAGTGGTGCCTTTTTTCCCCATCACCATACGTAAATGGAATGAATAGCTTCTCTGAGGATGGACAGCGTAATATGTGGAATTCCTGCTTGCTATCTTATAGGTAGTTATTTGCATATGAAATCTTGTGGATATGAGACTGAAAATGTGTAATTTATAAGCAAAAGGAAAAAAAAGCCCTATAAATTCTCATGTCCTGCATTTCACATTTCTGGTGATTTATAAGCCTTTTAAAGCTCATGTTATTAAGAAATTCAAAATTTCTGTGCCTATACATGTTTAACTAATATTAACTCAACTAGCCACCCTGTGGCATTTTACATGCTGTTCATTTTTTCCGTCTATATTTTTTCTCCTCTCGTTTTTTTAGAAACGTTATTCCTATTTCTGTCACACTGTCACCTCTCAGTCTGTCTTGCAAGAATGTAACATCAGCAGCCAAATGAACCTAGGAAAGAAGAAAAGAACAGATTTGTGTCATTTAATTTTAAAAAATAGAAAATTTTTCTCATTCTTTTTTCAGCTTTTGTTACTTTCCATATGAAATTATTTTAAAAATAGCTTGTTCTGTGGATGAAGGGTCCTTTATGAAGTGTCCTTCAGAGATGGTTCAGCAGTGTGTCAGCTCTGTGGTGTGAATCTACAAAGAGAAGGGTGGTCCAGGCCAACTGGATGACTGGGACACCCAGACATGTAAACCTCTCCCAAGCTTAGCTCACTGTGCAAGGCTGCACTGTGGATCCGTCTTTAGAAGAACACAAATTCCCAGCTCGAAGACAGTCTTGACCCAGTGCGCTTAGCCAGCAGAATTTCCAAGGATAAATGGATTCTTAAGTGATTGCTTTCAAACAGATTTGCCCCGAATCATTCTGTCGTTAGCTAAACTGCATAATCACTTGTCCTAACAACATTTAGCAGCACTTATGGCTCTGAGAGCTTTAAGAAAAATATCAATTAAATGAATTATAGATATAAAATTAAAGATTGAAATTACAGACATGAATATTTGATATGCAGGCCTTCTTTTCCTCGGAAAGGTATTTCCCATTTCCCAGACACTGAAGTAAGCAGGGCTTACTTCTTTATTCATTAAAATGTGTCCACATAAGAGCACAATGATGCTGCTGACCTATAGTGTATTCGTTGAGAGTTACTTTGATTTATTGGGATAAATAAGATAAATAAGTAAAAGCACCTAGTGAAAGCAAATAATATGTCAAAATGCCTACATGTAGCAGGCAATTAAATAATATTCATTGAATCTTACCTGACTCACTCCCCTCCCTCACTAAGAATTTCTTAGCTAGCCAGCCTCAATTTGTTAAACCATCAGTGTACCAAATTATCCAGCCATACGGAGGGCCTTGCAATGCCTACCATTTAATAGAAGGATGTAGATTGCACTTGGAAATACAGAAGCAAAATTCTTCCTCAACTTTTTCTTCCATAAGGTTTTTTAAGTCTTTGTCAAAATTTAACAGAAAATAAATTAACAGGGAGACGATGTTGAAGCTATTTGGGTATTTGGGGCCACGTGAGGTCTGATACCAGCTATCATTCAGCAAATATAATCAACTGTTATCTATGAGAGTTGAAGACATTGTTACCCTATTTTTGACTTGGTTTTATTGTTTCTCCCTTTGCCCATAAACTCCCAGAGTGCTTTCCCACCCCTTCCTTGATATCATGGCCACTGACTATAGGACAAATCTAAAAAGATGTTAGGGTTGAAACATGGAGAATCTGTGTGAACAATACATTATTTCTTTTGTTTTTTGATTTTTGATTATTTGTTATTCTATTTTTCCCTAACTATCACAAATAATTAAAAATTACATGCATGCCTCATTACTGGGTAGCTCATTACATGGCAAGACTTTGGTTACTATCTGGTCCCACCATTCTCAAAAGCTAAGCTTCTGGGAAAATGAGACTCCTCTTCTTAAACTGTTGTTGGCTCACCAATCTGTGACAGATTTTCTTCTTTCTCTTCACTTTCCCAAAAGAGCTTTTACTGGCCGGGTGCGGTGGCTCACGCCTACAATCCCAGCACTTTGGGAGGCCGAGGAGGATGGATCACGAGGTCAAGAGATCGAGATCATCCTGGTCAACAAGGTGAAACCCCGTCTCTACTAAAAATACAAAAATTATTTGGGCATGGTGGTGTGCGCCTGTAGTCCCAGCTACTCGGGAGGCTGAGGCAGGAGAATTGCTTGAACCCAGAAGGCGGAGGTAGCGGTGAGCCGAGATCATGCCATTGCACTCCAGTCTGGGTAACAACAGCGAAACTCCATCTCAAAAAAAAAGAGCTTTTACCAAGGCCTTCCTGGGACTTTTGGTTCCTAAATGTTGTGAATACATTTCAGGTCTGGTTTAACTTAGACTCTGCTGTACTTGTTCTTATTAGTCACTCTCTCTTCTTGAAATGCTCTCCTTCCTTGTTTCAGTAACTCCTTTTTTCCTACCTCTGATTTCTCTTCCTTAGAATCCTTTTCAGCCTTTGTGCTCTCTGTTTAACCTACTTATTATATTTTATTGCTTCCTACAGTTCTGTTACTCCCTTTGCTTCTTGATCTACAGACTCTGCCTAGTCATTCTTTTCCAATTCTAATGCTTTTTCAATTAATGTCTCTCTGTGAGCTCCAAACAGGGTTAAAGAACTGCTTGCTGGATAGCCTCACTTGTATGTGTTAAACACCTCAACCCCAGCAGGCTCAAATTGAACACCTCACTTTGTCTCTACCAAGCCCAAATGTACTACTCTTAGTTTTGTTCTTAGTTTAATAGTACAACCATCCTTACAGGTTGCTGAGAAACCTACAAGTCATTCTTGACTCTTTATCAATTTCGTCCCTTTCAGCCAATTGCTAACCCAGTCTTATCTGTTCTTTTTGTTGTTGGTCCAATGGTCTTCCTCTCCCCATTCCTGCTGTAAAGGCTCTGTTCTGGTTTTACCTGAGGTTACCGTCATAACTTACAAAGTGCCCTCATGCTTTCCTTCAGCATTGTTCCCTCTGATATACTTTCACTTGGTTGATAAGGAAATGAAATTCCTAAAACACAAATTTCAAAATATTACTCCACTGTTTATAGATCTGTATTGACTTTCTGTTGCTTTCAATATAAAAATCTCAATTTCCAAGCTTGAATCCCTTTTTTAAAAGTCAGTCTTCTGTAAAGAATTTAAACCTCCTTTCTCATGACAATCTGCCTTTCAATTTATATGTCAGTCATACTGAACTAATTGAAGTTCCTTGTTCCTTGATTCAAACAACCTTTTTATACCTTTGGACATGCTGATTCTTCTACCTGTTATAATTTTCTCCTGCTCCTCTTACCCAAGACTTCTATCTAACTTCTATTTTTTTCCTTCAAAAGCCAATTAAGAGTATCCTTAGGAAGTCTAGAAAGTCTTTCCTGCCACAGATCCTTTCATAGCCTTAATTATACTTCTTTGTACATCTGATTTTTCCATTAGACCAAAGATTATTTAAGGGCAGCAAGTGTGTCTTGTTCATCTGTGCCTACTCAGTACCTGACACTTAGCAGATATTAATAACGTTTTAGTTAAACCAATGAATAACTCGGGTGTAAAATCTGGCCTCTAAAATAGCCTGCAATGATCCCTACCTCCTGTCATTCACACCCTCAGATAGCCCCCTCCCACATGGCAGCAGGGTTGGCAGCATAAGCAGCCATATTGTGATTAGATCTACAAAGAGGTCCATGTGGCCCGGAACTTCATGAAGCCTCCTGACAACAGCCTGTAAGGCACTGGGGTTATGTGAGTGAGCTTGGAAGTAGATTCTCCAGCCTCAGTCAAGTCAACAGAGGTTGTAGCCCTGGCCAGCAGCTTGACTGCATGTGTATTAAGCCATGAAAAAATTTGAGGGATTAGAATTGTGTTTGATAAAGAATCATTTCAAAAAATCAAATATTTTTGTGCACTAGGCGCAGTTGTGTAGCAGTTGAGTAATGCTGGTTAGCTGTTAAGGTAGCGTGTTCCAGTGCAGAGTGCTTGGCTGTTTCCTGTTTTCTCCTGATTGCTCCTGTGTAAAGATGCCTTGTCGTGCAGAAACAAATGGCTGTCCAGTTTATTAAAATGCCTGACAACTGCACTTCTAGTCACCCAGGCCTTGCATATAGATAACGGAGCATACAGTGAGCACATCTAGCTGATGATAAATACACATTTTTTCCTCCTCCCCCCAAAAATGGTAAATCTGATCATATCTACATGTATAAACTTAACATGGAAAGTGTTAGGCAAATGGTTGTAACTTTGTAAGTACTTACAACATGGTGTATCTTTTTGCTTATGAATGTTCTGTACTATAACCATTGTTTCTGTAGTTTAATTAAAACATTTTCTTGGTGTTAAAAAAAAAAAGACTTTGAGTGACAACCACCTAGCTAAGCTGCTCCCAGATTTCTGACTCTCAGAAACTGTGTGAGGTAATAAATGTTTGTTTTTGTAAGCTGCTACAGTTTGGGGGTAATTTGTAACATACCATTAGATAGCCAATATACCTAGCAAAATGAATTACGTATATTGGTTATCTTATCTTAGCCTTAGAAGGACTAAGAGAATCTCCATTCATTCTTCACTTATTCAACTTTACCATTTCCAAGGCGCCTCTGATAATCCCACAGAGCAAGTTGCAGTAGCACAGAGAAGATCGCCCAGCAGGGAGCTCTTCCACAAACTCCACCAGAGGATTCTTGTCTAGAATCAGGGAAAATTCATTTCTGCTTGAATTGTTACAGGTCACACTTGGTGTAATTCCCAGGTACATCTTGAAAGCCACCTGATAATAAGAAAACAAAATTAATAAAACTTGGTCTAGAGCCAATAACTATTAGCAGACTAAGCAAATACCCTGTGATAGGCATTACTGCACAATAGTTAAGCATATGGAGTCTATAGTCAGGAAGTCTGGCTTCACCCTTAGCTTTGCAATTTATTGATCCTATAATGTGAAATTTTTAAATATTTTTACTTGTAAGAGGCTAATTTTTGTGGAAATAATATGGTTTGTAAAAAAACACGTTAAAACATTACTTTCAATCAACTTTTTAAAAGATACATATCCTTTAGGGGAGTAAGAAATTAAAACATTATTAGTCATCAACATATCAGCTGATATTTGCCACACTGATCCTAGCAAAGTATAAAACCCTGGATTAGAAGGGACCCAGGAGACATTTCCCACAACAGTTAGGTGACAATTAAAGCAGAGGATGCTAGGGACAGATTAGACACAGATTAGACCCAATAATTCATTTTGGGAAGTGGAGGGAATAATTTTGGAGTAGTCGTCCCTTATCTGTGATATCAATTACCTGTGGTCAACATTGTTTGAAAATATTAGGTAGAAAATTCCAGAAATAAACAATTCATACATTTGAAGTTGTGCTTCTGCGTAGTGTGATGAAACCTCTCACTGTCCCCTCTCCATACTGCCTAGAACATGAATCATCCCTTTGTCCAGTGTATTCACACTTTTTATGCTATGACCTGCCCATGGGTCACTCTGTAGCTGCCTCAGTTAGCACATTTTTGAAAAACATAGTATATACAGGGTTTGATACTATCTGAAGTTTTAAGTATCTACTAGGGGTCTTAGTTGCAGGTATCCCCTGTGGGCAACAGGGGACTACTCTATTGTGGAAGACAAATCTCTAAGGAGCAAGTGGTAGTGGTGAGAGGCACATAAATGAATTATCAAGTAACTTCACAAAAAGTCTGCTGTTTTATAGGGCTTGAAGAATTTTACAATGTGGAAATGGAAGAAATCTTGCAGACTATGTCTTTTAAGCCCTTAGTTTCACAAATAGGTAAACTGGTGTTCAGAGAACTCAAATGATACTGCCAAGATCATGCTATAACTTAATTCTTTGGTTCCTAATCCAAGGCAATTTCTTTTCCCAAAACACACAGGCCTGGACTTTGAAGTTTATTAATAAAATTTTGTCAGCTTGATATGTTGCCATTTTTCAAGTGTGGAAATTAATTAATTTTTAAAATTAAGAGCTGTGTAGGAGAGAAATGAAAGCAATTTTCTTAAATTACTTATAATCTGAAGAACTAAGAGATTCCTCATTTATTCTTCATTTATTTCAACAGACACTTCTTGAGCACTACCAGTCTAGCACAGTACCTGGCACACAGCAGCCATTTGCAAGATAAATTATGGAATGGGCATCTATTCTGTGTTTGAGACTGTGTTTAGTCTCAAACACAGAAAATGCTTGGTATTGACTGAATGTTTGCCAGGTAGGTAAGACTGGGGGCCTGGAGGGAAGTGACAAAGACATTCTAGGTAGTGGGAACATGTCATGAGCATAAAATACCATGATGGGGTTCAGGGAAACTCTACATCTACCAACTTGTGAGCAGTTGTGGGCCTCAAAGCTGTGAATGGCTAATGCAGAATTGACTTTCAGTTTTAGGGGAATCCTGTTCTTGTCAGCATAGAGGATGGCTTTAGGGCTATGGGTGGGAGTGAGCATGAGGTCAAGCACAGAGATACTAATCAAAAGGTTTCTCGTATAGCCTAGGAAAGAAATGAAGAGACTCCTCATTTTGATTTTCCTTCAAAACTCAAACTCTCCCAAAACTTTTCCATGTAAAATTCACATATCCCAAATCCTAAAATTTGATCTCTAACACTAGCCATTTTAGGAAGATAGAAAATGAAAGGGGAAAAGTTGAAGGCATTCTCCCTAAAAAGTGCAATAAGACAGGGATGCCTACTTTTACCACTTCTATTCAACATAGGCTATTAATAAAAATCCCATCCATAGCAATTAGGCAAGAGAAAGAAATAAAGGGTATCTAAATCAGAAAAGAGGAAGTCAAACTACCTCTGTTTGTAAGGTTAATCATATACCTAGAAAACCCCTTAACACTCCTCCAAAAGACTACTAAGTTTGATAAATCAATTTAGTAAAGTCTTAGTTTACAAAACTAATGTACACAAATCAGTAGCCCTGCTATACAACAACAACCAAGCTGAGACTCAAATCAAGAACTCAATCCCTTTTCATTAGTTGCAAAAAAAAAAAAAAAAAACCACTGAGGAGTATATTTAATCAAAGAGGTGAAAGATCTCTACAAGGAGAACTATAAAACACTACTGAAAGAAGTCATAGATGACACAAACACAAGGAAATATACACCATGCCCCTGGATTGGAAGAATCAATATTGTGAAAATCACCATACTGACCAAAGCAATCTACAGATTCAATGCAGTTCATATAAAAATACCAATATCATTTTCCACAGAATTAGAAAAAAGCAATTCTAAAATTCATATAGAACCAAAAAAAAAAAAAAACTCCAACAGCCAAAGCAATCTCAAGCAAAAAAATAAATCTAGAGGTATCACATTACTTGATTTCAAACTATACTACAAAGGTATAGCTATCAAAACAGATTAGTACAGGTACAAAAGTACCTACATAGACCAATGGAACAGAATAGAGAACCCAGAACCAACTGATCTTTGACAAAGCATATAAAAACATAAATCAGAGAAAGGATACTCTATCCATTAAAATGTGCTTGGAAAATGAGATAGCCACATGCAGAAGAATGAAACTGGAAAATGAGATAGCCACATGTAGAGGAATGAAACTGGTACCTGTCACTTACCATACGCAAAAATCAACTCAAGATGGATCAAAGACTTACGTGAAACCATAAAATTTCTAGAATAAAACTTAATAAAAACTCTTCTGGATATTGGCCTAGGCAAAGAATTTATGACTAAAGCCCAGAAAGTAAATGCAACAAAACCAAGAATAAATAAATGGGACCTAATTAAACTAAAAAGCTTTTTTACAGCAAAAGAAATAAACATCAGAGTAAACAGGCAACCCACAAAATAAGAGAAAATATTTGTAAACTATGCATCTGACAAAGGACTAATACCCGTTATCTACAAGGAAGTCAAACAAATCAGCAAGAAAACAACAAATAATTCCATCAAAAAGTGGGCAAATGACATCAATAGACACTTCTCAAAAGAAGATATACAAATGACCAACAAACATAAAAAAATGCTCAACATCACTAATCGTCAGGGAAATGTAACCTAAAACCACGAGATATCATTTTACCTCAGCCATAATGGCTGTTACTAAAAAGGCAAAAAAACAACAGATGTTGGTATGAATTTGGTGAAAACAGAATGCTTGTAGAATTCTGGTAGGAATGTAAATTAGTACAACCTCTGTAAAAAACAGTACAGAGATTTATTTCTTTGCTTCGATTTATTTATTTATTCATTCATTCATTTATTTTTGAGACAGGGTCTTGCTCTGTCAGCCAGACTGGAATGGAGTGGCCTGATTTGGCTCACCACAACCTCAGCCTCCTGGACTCAAGTGATCCTCCCATCTCTGCCTCCCAAATAGCTGGGACTACAGGTGCCTGCCATCAAGCCTGGCTAATTTTTTTTTTTATATATAGAAATGGAGATTCACCATGTTGCCCAGGCTGGTCTTGAGCTCCTGGGCTCAAGCAATCCATCTGCCTCGGCCTCCCAAAATGCTAGGATTACAGGTATGAACCACCACACCTGGCCATGGAGAGTTCTTTAAAAACTAAAAGTAGATCTACTATTCATTCCACCAATCCCACTACTGGGTATCTACCCAGAGGAAAAGAAGTCATTATATATATATATATATATATTTTTAAACCTGCACATGTATATTTATTACAAAACAATTCACAATTGCACAGATATAAAACTAATCTAAGTGCCCATCAACTGATACAAAGAAAATGTGGTGTATATACACCATGGAATACTCCTCAGACATAAAAAGATAATGAAATAATGTCTTTTGCAGCAACCTGATGGAGCTGGAGGCCGATATTCCAAGCGAAGTAACTCAGGAATGGAAAAACTGTTGTTCTCACTTATAAGTAGGAGGCAAGCTATATGTATATAAAGGCATATGGAGTGGTATAATGGACTTTGGAGACTCAGAAAGAGGGAGAGTGGGAGGAGAGTGAGGGATAAAAAAATACATATTGGGTACATATATTGGGTGACAGGTGCACTAAAATCTCAGAATTCACCACTATATACATATGTGTGTGTGTATATGTAATTCATCCATGTAACCAAAACCCATTTGTACCCCAAAAGTCATACATATATATATATAAATGTGTATATATATGAAAAAAGAAAGCAAATCTCTGTCTTCTAAATCTTAAGTCATAGCAAGAGAAAAATTTCATCATAAAATTCTAGGTTTGCAAATTTGATTTGTCTCCTGATGAATTGGCTGAAACGTCTTTCTGTTAATGTTGATTCCTTACACTAGAAAATTCCTAGACTATTATTTCGTATGAGTGAGAATTTCTTTTCTGGTTTTCAATCCAAACCACATGGAAAGAATGTAAAAATGGAGGCTGTGCACTTTGAATTTATTCTCAGCATTTAGGCTGCAGTATTACAGCCCAATATTCCCCAGTAGGAGGCATTATCTAAACATGTTGAGAAATTTTCATTCCTAGGGAATGACACTGTTTCCTTATCTGGCTGAATTCAGTCTGAGAAGAAGGACTGTTGTTTCTAATGATGAAAGAGCTCCACCCTCGTGCACTGCCACAGCTGCTCTGCCAATAACAAAGGCATAGCATTTTCCCTCTTGTGCATCTCCAAAATGGATGCTTTTCAGGGCATTTTAAAATTCTTCCTTAATCAGAAAACTGTTCTCGGTTATAGCTTCATGGCTCTGCTGACTGTGGGAAGTGAGCGTCTCTTTTCTGTCGTGGCTTTTAAGTGCCCCTGCAGCACTGAGAATATGGCCTATGGGCTGGTTTTCCTCTTTGCTCCTGCCTGGGTGTTACTGATTCTAGGATTCTTTCTGAACAACAGGTCATGGAGACTCTTCACAGGCTGCTGTGTGAATCCCAGGAAAATCTTTCCCAGAGGCGACAGCTGCCGTTTCTTCTACGTCCTCGGTCAGATCACCCTGAGCTCATTGGTGGCTCCAGTGATGTGGCTTTCTGTGGCTCTGCTCAATGGAACTTTTTATGTATGTGCCATGAGTGGGACGAGAAATTCAGGACTCCTGGAACTGATTTGCAAGGGTAAGCCCAAAGAGTGCTGGGAAGAACTTTACAAAGTATCTTGTGGCAAAACTAGCATGATACCCACCATCAATGAAGAACTGAAACTGTCCCTTCAGGCCCAGTCTCAGGTAAGAAAAGACAAACTTGCCTTTTTCTCCCAGCGTGAGCTTGAAGTATTCTCTTTGTCCTCCTTTCAGCCAGGGCTGAATCCGTATCCTGTCAGAATATTTTGAAACTAAATGGAAACTGAAACACGATGCAGCATGGGCACTATCTCAGGAAAAGCTTTTTAAAGGCTGGATGGCTCAGTAAAGTTGCTGACTGGATTATCTTTTTTCCGGTTCCAAAAAGAAAATATCCTCTGGATTGCCCATATGTAAATACTTAAGTACTTTAAAACAGTCTCTCTGGGTTGACTTTGTAAATAAATAATACCTAACACTGAATCATAAATTGAGTGTTAATGGCAGAGCTATAATTAGAAATTACTGCCGTCTATCAATTATTTATCTTCAAGTTAGTTTCTCAAACACACATATACATCATTCATCTATTAAAATGTAGCTGAACGAAATGAGTTAATACTTTTCAAAGTTGCAGGTAATATAATTAGTGTAGAGATTCTCCTGAATGATTTCTGGCAACTGCTATCTCTGTGTATACATATTGTTAAGATTGAGAAGAATTTTCCATGTAAAGTAGAAATCAGCAATCTTTAAATAGACTTCAGTGAAAATGTGACCACACTCTCTAGGGAGATTATGTTGTATACTCTGTGCTATACAGCTAAAGAAGTTCTTAATTACTTCAGAAGCTCAAGATTGGGGCATTGTTTTATTTAACAGAAGGAAATTATATCTTTACCTAATTGATACAAGGAAGTAGCCTGTCATTCCTCCAGGCACGTGAACACAAATCCAGATGTTCAGCCTTAGGAAGGACCGGCTTCCCATTTATGAGTAGTAAGAATTGCATTCCCAAAAGCAAAACAAGCAGTAAGAGTTCATAAGCAGATCCACAAATTGTCAGAAATGTTATCTGTTTCAAAATAAAGGGACTGAAATAGCACTATTTTACTTTTTCAGCAAGCAATTGCCTTGGCAACAACACATGAAGGCAAAGTCTATTTTTAAAATCATACATTCCAAGGCTGTTTGGCGGTAAAGTCATACTCTTCATAAATTGATAAGTCAAGAAATGCTCCAAAACAAAATATTTTCTTTAATGCATAAAGCACATCTTAGATAAAACATGTCAGGCTCCCAATGTCTTGTGTCTCTTATTGAAGAATGGTATAACTTACAACTCTTATGATAGAATGACTGATTTATGGTTTATGTCCTCAGGCACCAGGCTCCATTTGACAGGGCAAGGCCCAAACACTTATCAATGTGTGAGCATCTCTTCTCTAAACACAGGCGCAAGGAAACCATGCACATCATGTCATAGCTTAGGCTGAGCAGACTGACCTGCTGATTTTTCATCAGAATGAGAAGGACCTGGGGCTGAGTCCCGTGGGAAGATGCATAAGGAATGTAGGCAAGAGGAGTTGTATCAATAGCAGGTGCTGACTATAGAGGTTCAGACAGGCAGGAGGCAACATATAGTCCAGACCAATAATAGTTGGGCATGTGGCTGGAGGTGGAAAAGTACATTCATTCATGGGTGGAGCAGAAAAACAAACAAAAAATATCTAGCTGGATGACTCTTTATTCTTATTGAAGGTAGAATGAAGTAGTGGAAAGAGCTCAGTCTTGGAATTGTCTGGCCTTGAATTTGTATGTTGACGCTACCAATCACCAGCTATGCCACCTAGAACTGGTGGTTCGACCTCTCTGAATCCCAGTTTTCTCATAGTTGGTGGTAATATCATCTGCTTTGGAGAGTTGTTGGACGATTTAGAGATGACAGACACAAACAGCCATAAAGCTTCTGGTACATAGTAGGTGTTCCAAGTCAATGAGGAAAACTGCCAGGGTTTGGGGGAGGACATATGCAAAATGGAACACTATTGAGGGCTGGTATTGAAGCATCCACCATGCTCTGGTTTGACTGTGGGTACTGTGAATGGAGGGGAAGGATCGGTCAATGCAAAGGTCATGTGAAAGGGGGAAGGGGACCTAAAGGGGATGGAATAGTTTATAACTCCAGTGGAACTGGCTAAGATACTAAGACCAGATGGCCTATAGAAGCCTCAGCTGTGGAAAAGAGGAAGACAGATGATGAAGGGAAGAGGAAGATTTAAGGTAGCCACAAGCCATTCTAGGACTTTCACATGATGGTAGTTGCGCCTCACTCATTAATTATAAGTACAGAAAGATATTATGAGTTCAGTAATACATTTACATAACTGTATATGCATTTGAAGAATTGCAGCATGTAATATTAGCTAAAACTTAATGAATGCATGTGTGCAGCATCATTTCATTATGTCCACCAAGTTACCCTTCAAGGTGAGTAACCCCCATTTCACAAGTGAAGAAACTAAGATACAAAGAATATGCATAGTAAGGGGGAAGTTAGTTTTAAACCTGAGTAGTGCCAGTCCAGAGCTGGCATTGGTGCAGAGGTTGAGACCCTTCGCAAACACTTCATTTCTGAGCCAGAGGTTGGGATCCACGAGTTTAAAGCTTATTTGTGGTTTTGTTATGGTTTGAATGGGTTCATTTGTAGATTATTATTTCTGTTTTCAAATAGGCCCATCTGCTAAAGAATATTAAGACTTGGCTGGGCGTGGTGGCTCATGCCTGTAATCCAAGCACTTTGGAGGCCAAGGCGGGTGGATCACCTGAGGTCAGGAGTTCAAGACCAGCCTGACCAACATGGTGAAACCCTGTCTTTAAATAAATGAATCAATATAAAAATAAAAATAAATATTAATACTCATTTAAGCTAACTGTCCAGAGACACTTTGAAAAAGTGTTAGTTTTCCAAATACAAAATTGATTCCAAATATGAAAACAGAATTAGAGAGAAAAAAGTTAGAAGATAATTTGAGCTATTTAAACTTTTGCTTTTAGAATTCAGAAGAAAAAAATGCTGAACCATTTCATATGCAGGAAAGAGTTTGTTTGTTCTAATTACCAAAAATCAAGACAAATAATTTTCAAGTTTTGAATGATCCTCATTTTTTCTCAGCCTTTAAATTGTTATAGCTTTAGCTTCCTGAATGTATCATCTGTCTCCCTTTTCCATGGGCAGTGAGTAATGACAGAAAAAAAATGAGTCATTGGCCATGTATATATATTTATCAGTGCCTAAAAACACCTGGCTGAGGAGCTGGTCATTTGCTCAAATGACCACATTTACTTATGCACAGAAATTTTTCCTCTCACAGCTAATACTATTCGAGCCTGATTTATCTAAGTCTTATATAATCTATACCTTGTACCCTTTTCCATATACCGGCCTTCTGGTTATTCCTTTGCAACAGCAATGTTGCGGGGGAGAATAGAGATTTGGTAAGCCCTAACTTTGAGTTAACCTAACAAATTCAAGAGTTTAAAGTGTTTAAAAATTAAGATGAATGATTTCAAATGAGGTATGCCAAAGACTGTGGTAATAATTTAGCTACATACTTCTCAATAATACCACCCCAGCTCCCTAAATGACTGCTTTTACATGTACTCAATATTTCTTTCTTCTTAAGATTCTAGGATGGTGCCTGATTTGTTCAGCATCTTTCTTCTCTCTGCTCACTGCATGTTATGCTCGTTGCCGATCTAAAGTTAGCTACCTTCAGCTGAGTTTTTGGAAGACATATTCAGAAAGGGAGAAGGAGCAGTTGGAAAATACGTTTCTGGACTATGCCAACAAGCTGAGTGAGAGGAACCTGAAATGCTTTTTTGAAAACAAGAGTCCAGATGCCTTTCCCCTGCCTACGTTTGCTGCCTGGGAGGCTGCTTCAGAGCTGCATTCTTTCGACCAAAGCCGGCAACACTATAGTACCCTCCACAGAGTGGTGGACAATGGTCTGGAACTTAACCCTGAAAATGATGAGACGACAATGATTCTTGTGGGTACTGCCCACAATATGTAGTTCATCCACCGACACTTACTCATGGTGTTGAGTGGTGTGCTCATTTTGGGATTCTCCTAATGTATCACCAGCAACCTCGATATCGTCTGTATTTTCTTACATTTAGAGTATCTTTACAAGACAGTAACACAAAGGAAACTGCTTTGAAGCTCTCAAATGGAGTATCAGAATGTGCTCAAATTGATGCTGAGGGGTCACAAAGGTGCTCTTGCGTTGGTGGAGAGTGGGCTCAGTAGGCCCAAGTGTTGCTCCAAGATCTAAGATTTTATCATTCAACAGACAAACTTATGTGAGAGGGCTCATCAGTCTCTGTAAATATTGGTTGCAGAATTTAGGGGCAGAGGCAATGGCTTGTGAATGAGCAAATTACTCTTAACAAAATTGTCCTACACAATGGCTCCTGCAGTGTGATCAGCAGGATAGAATTAATTCCCTCAGAATCTGAATACCTCAGTCCTCAAAAATAATTAGTTGCAAGAATATGATGCCTAAAATTGAAAGTTTTATGCACGTTTTCACTGTATACTGAAAATATGCCCCTGGAAGCATCATGATTTTTGTGGGTTTTATGTACTTTTGCCTTTGTGAACCACTTCCTACTTTCAATATAGTAGTAATAAATATATAGATATATAGCAAATATATATTTATAACTGCATTGAAAAAGGTGAGTATATTAGCATTTTCTTCAACCTAAAAGTTTATACATTTTCTTCTGATTTTAAAAGAGATTAAAAACATTTTTGTGGGCCCTTAAAAGTATGGTGGGCCTTAGGCACAGTGCTTACTAGGCCATGGGTACATCTTAGTGTGTTTGGGCTACTATAACCAAATATCATAGATTAGGAGGCTTATGAAAGATAGAAATTTATTTCTTACAGTTCTGGAGGCTGGGAAGTCTGAGATCAGGGTGCCAGCATGGTCAGGTTTTGGTGAGAGCCATTTTCCAGGTTGCAAACTGCTTGCTGACTTCTAGCATCCTCCCATGGTGTAAAGTGCAAATAAGCTCCCTTGAGCATTTTTCAGAAGGCACTAAGCCCATTCCTGGAGGCTCCACCTTCATGATCCAATTATCTCTCAAAGGCTTTGCTTCTTTTTTTTTTTTGAGACGGAGTTTCGCTCTTGTTGCCCAGGCTGGAGTGCAGTGGCGCAATCTTGGCTCACCGCAACCTCCGCCTCCTGGGTTCAGGCAATTCTCCTGCCTCAGCCTCCTGAGTAGCTGGGATTACAGGCACGCGCCACCCTGCCCAGCTAATTTTTGTATTTTTAGTAGAGATGGGGTTTCACCACGTGAACCAGGATGGTCTCAATCTCTTGACCTCGTGATCCACCTGCCTTGGCCTCCCAAGGGCTTTACTTCTTAATACCATCAGCTTTGGGGTTAGGATTTCAACGTATGAATTTGAGGGAGACACAAACATTCAGACTATAGCAGGGTAAATGAGCCCTGATTAAAGGTCTGGGACACTGTTCAAAGCAGTACTGACATAAAACTGTATTTCAGTCTTACACTTATCAGAAATAATGCAAATTTTGCATTCTACAATGTACTATATCCATGTTAATGTATACATATATATGTGTATGTGTTTATGTACATAAATTCTTAAATCTCTGAGTAGAATTATGCTTAAAAAAAACAATGTTTTGTGCTGTGGCTCATACCTTATATCAGTGGGAGCCTATATCCCCTAGTTTGAGAAACATGAATATAAACTTATTACCGTGAAACATGATGGCAAACTGAATCCTATAGGTATAAGACCCAGAACATGTCTATGTTATTGCCATTTACAAACAACCAACTATAGCAAGATATCTTTGAGATATTTAGGGAAATATGAATGAATATTAGATGACTTTTAAAGAATTATTAATTTTGCTATGAATGATAATGGCATGCTGGTTTATGTTTTTTAAAAAATTCTTCAGTTAGAGATGCATATTTTAATATTTGTGTGTGAACTGCCATGACGTCTAGAAGTTTCTCTAAAATACTCTAGGAAAGGCAGGGCGCAGTGGCTCATGCCTGTAATCCCAGCACTTTGGGAGGCCAAGGAGAGTGAATCACCTGAGGTCGAGAGTTCGAGACCAGTATGGCCAGCATGGTGAAACCCTATCTCTACTAAAAATACAAAAAAAAAAAAAAAAACTAGCTAGGCATGGTGATGATAAGTGCCTGTAATCCCAGCTACTCAGGAAGCTGAGGCAGGAGAACCGCGTGAACCTGGGTGGCAGAGGTTGCAGTGAGCCAAGATCATGCCATTGCACCCCAGTCTGGGAAACAAGAGAAAGATTCTATCTCCAAACAAACAAACAAACAAATACTCAAGGAAAAATAAAAGTTTAGGGAGAAAGCTGAAAGATGAAACAAGAACAGCAAAATATGGAAACTTTTGAAGTTGGATGGTAGGTACATGGAATTCATTACATTATTCACTTTACATTTGTATATGTTTGAAAAATTTCATAAGATACACAACAAAATAATTCATATGCTAACCTCAGTTATTTTGCTGAAGTTTTGTCAATCGCCTCCTGCTTGGCTAGAGTTTACCTTCTAGTACCATTCTCAGCAAGGACTAGCAGGAATGTCATTCCCTGAATTCTTTTTTTTTTTTTGAGACGTAGTTTCGCTCTTGTTACCCAGGCTGGAGTGCAATGGCTCGATCTTGGCTCACCGCAACCTCTGCCTCCTGGGTTCAGGCAATTCTCCTGCCTCAGCCTCCCTAGTAGCTCGGATTACAGGCACGCACCACCATGCCCAGCTAATTTTTGTATTTTTAGTAGAGACGGGGTTTCACCATGTGGACCAGGATGGTCTCGATCTCTTGACCTCGTGATCCACCTGCCTCAGCCTCCCAAAGTGCTGGGATTATAGGCTTGAGCCACCGCTGAATTCCTGCATATTTAGCCTGTTGGCCTGTTCTCTACTTGAAGGACAGCTTGGCTCGTTCATACTTTGTCTATGTGCATGTATTGTAAGGATTATTTCATTGTCTTTTGTCATTGAATATTGCTGAGAAGCCACAGCCTGATTTTTGATGCTATCTTTATTTTTTTCTTTATTACGAACAGGATGTTTTATCCTATATTCTCATTGGTTTCTTTCTTTATCTTTCACATCCAAAAATGTTAAATAAGCCTTCAGGTACATCTTTTTGGGTCAATTTTCTGCTAAAAGTTATTGTGGAGAATCATTTTGTTTTATTTCAATAAAAGAGTTGGAAATTTTTCAACTTATTTTCCTTTCTGTGCTATATGATTTTCAATAAACTGTATTGTTTTGAATTCAAACCTAAACTGCTATGTTCCTATTGGAATTTAATTTAATTTAAAAAACTAAGTTAACTTGAAGTTTCGGCTCTTGTTTCATCTAAGTTTCACAAGCACACTGTAAGGGAGGTATTACCTTTTCTATTTCTATGTATAATCCTAAAGTCCAAAAAGTCTAAGGTGGTTAAGCTACTGTTAAGTTATAGAACATCATTTTAGACCGACATTTGTCTAATTCTTATTTCCATCCCACAAATTCTACCTGATTTTAGTACATTCTTGAGTGTTCATATAACCTTTCAAAGTATGTTCCCTTATTTGTAAAAAGAGGATGTTGAATTAGTATATCTCAAAGTCTCTTTCAACTCTGTTGTCTTAAATCTTAGAGCCAGTAGTGTGTGAATTCCCAGCCAATTGGATTCTTAGTGTCCTCTTGGGAATTGAGGTCTATCTCCAAGTTTCCTGGCCTCTGTCTGGGTCCCTGGACCCTTTTCCATCCTGAACAGCTTTTTTACCTTGGGTTTCTAAGTGTTTAGGATAGTTATGCTCACACTGTGCTCCTACTGTATCAATTAAGTAAACTTTCCATTTTTTTTTTAATTTCCTTAGATAAAAATGACAATGGATATAGAAAAATTTTTAGCAGTGGAAAGTTCTTAAAAGATTTCACATGGTCTCCCAACTTTAAATTTTATAGATTTTAGAGTCCACCTTTCTTTCTGGCCAGTTATCTTTTGATAGTTTCAGGTTTCCTGAACCTACAGTCACACCAATGCCAAGAAAAATCTTTACAAGTTTTAAATTACAATTAAAGTTGAGATTAAAATGAATGAATTTCTTCACCTAATCACATTCACTGGGTCATTTCAAGAAATAGGAATAAGTCAGCAAAATAAGAACTCGTGATACTGAGTAACTTTGCTTAAGAACAGTACCTTAAGATATATGCATTCTTTGGCAATTTATAACCTATAAAATGGTGACTAGTTGCATTGTAAAAACATTCTGCTTGCCTATATTTTATCATAGAGATGTGCTTCTGCAATTATAATAATTGCTGATGGTTTCAACAGAACACAATTATTTCTCCCAGGAGTTTGCTGGTATTTGAGTCCTGGAGGAAACATGAGAGATAGTAATCAGTGTTTTAGAAAGTTACTTCCTTAAACAGTTGGCTAACTATGAGTGGGTTTCATGACCCTATGGATGAAGACAAGCAATTAAACAAACATATACTTACAAGCTGCCGTTTGATAAATTTCCATCTTCTTTGGAGCAATGACCTCAAAAACACGGTTCCTTCTCTATCTGTTTCCCTACAGACAAGTTTGTTGTCCTCACTAAAGGTGGGATGGACTTTGTTGCATCAAAACTGTTCCACTTTTATCATATCTCTCTAGCGTTTCCCACTTTGTTTTTACAAATGGATTTTTATTTTATTTGAAGCTTGTAAAAGAGCTAAAACTTGAGAGGTAACTAGGGAAAGAATTTGGATGGAGGGCCTGGAGGAAGGGCAGCCCTAACCTGCAGCCTCATCTGCAGGAATCACCCTAGAGCTCTATAAAACACGGTTAGAAAACTCTTGTTCTAAACAGTAGATGCCCGTTAGGATCGCTGGGAGAGCATATAAAAAGTTCTAATGCCTGTGCCTTATTCCTAGAGACCACAATTTAAGGGGTCAAAAGTAAGTTCTGAACATCAGGATTATTCGGAAAGCTCAGGTGATGCTATGCAGGAGCTAGAATTGATAACCCTTGCCCTGGAGTATCACTGAGAGGTCAGGGCAAGACTGAACCAAATCTTACTTCTGACACAAACTACAAATCACACCAGGCAGGGATGACCTGGACTTTGGTGTTCCTGATGTGTCTTTGAATCCTTAGGCCCATACAGATCTTGTTTTAGGGTTTTGTTTCCCAGGGTGTTTACTCCATGGTTTTCATTTCGTAATAAAGAATTTTACTGTAAATAGTCAGATTAATAAAATGTTCCCAAAGCTATTGCTATTTTCAATTCACTTAGAGCAGCAGTTACAATATTTTCTGAACTTCATGCTTTTTCTTAAAGGCAGGATAAGAAATTCCCATGTGAAGGATATCTTCCCTATACTAGAAAGAAAGCAAGATTCTTATCATCAAGGAGGGGCAATTGAGGCAGAAAGAATTTTGTATAGATTTTATTAAAATAATTCTTGCCTTCTAGCCTCCCCAAATAACTTAGTTGTTTTTTTCACAGATTACCATTCTTTGTTCAATTCAGTAGATAAGTGTTAACTCCGTGGGTCTCCATTTCTTCATTAAAGACTCCCATGCTAGGTATTAATTAAATGTGTATGCTTTTTTCCTGTTGATCTACCTTATGTCAATTTAATTCTCAAGCCAATGTTTCAAAAGAATCCTAGAAGGACAGAGGTGAAGTTTTGCCTTCCCTACAGTTTTATAAGTCAGTTTCACATGAGCTTTATCCAAATAAGGTAAACAACAGTAACCAATAATCTTCCATGCAAAGTCAGGGCAGCCTAGATATTCACATTCTGGGATACCTGGAAGATTCAAAACTTCTCCCCTAGAAGGGAGAGCATTAGGACAAATACCTAGCTCATGCAGGGCTTAAAACCTACATGACAGGTTGGTAGGTGCAGCGAGCCACCATGGCACATGTATACCTATGTAACAAACTTGTGTGTTCAGCACATGTATCCCAGAACATAAAGTAAAAAAAAAAACAAAACCTCTCCCCTTAAACATTTTTAGTAATAGAGCAAAAAAGACAAGATATCTAGACAGGCAGATTTCCTGTAAGTCCTAAATATAAACAGAAATGGAAGATGGACATTCATAAGGAAGGTGAGAGGCAGTGCTAAGTTATTTAGTGACTTGAAGAATTTACTAAGAATCAAGCCTTAAGAGATTCTTCTCTGTGACTAAAGAAAAATAATATTAAGCAAGTGCAGTCATAATAGAGATTTAAGGTTGACTCCCCTGAATGTACCTTGCCTTCATGTTGGAACTCTGCCAGAAGCAGTGGATGTGACCCTCTGAGTTTGAGCCAATCAGTTTCAAAATCCACAGGGCTTGTGGCTATACACATACACTTTTCCACAAAAGAAAATTTTCTACATTTTTCCTCTTTCATCCCTTTCAGAGGTATAAAGCAGAATAGACCAAATGTGTGAGTGGTGACATAAGGCGGTTCTTGCCTACTCAGTGAGGAGAAACAAGCCCAAATAGTTATGCTGGTTTAAACGTTTCATATTTTTAATAATCTATCTGCCATATTTCTGGCCCAAATTTTAAGATGTCTTCAAATAATTTATAAATTGCTTTTGCTGTGAATATTCATCATTTTTTAAATATTGAGAATTTTATTACCACAAAGAATTTTTCTTTCCTTTTATTTCAGCTCCCTTCTCTACTCAAAATAGGAAAATGGTCTGACATTCAGCTGTGATGCCAGCCTTCTCTGGAATGTTTTGTTGTGTTGAGCTGTGACTTCCATGGAATTCAATTCCTGCTTACCAAGGGCTCCCACTTATTTTATTTTACTATAGTATGTTGAAAAGAGTGGAAAAAAGAAAAGCAATTCAATAGGCTCTTACAACTAGGTTTTGAGTTAGCCTTTGAAAAACAGTAAGAGCAAAGAAAGCTTTTATATTTAGGCTTATCTGATGAGTTTCCTTTTGTTGTAGTTGTTGTTGTTGAGGGATTAAAGGGATCGGTAATCCTAGGAAAATGTTGAGAATGTGGCCTATTGGTGCTTTAACCCTTGGGTCCTCCCCTGCCTACACTCTGCTGAGAACTGCTCTCACCAGGTCTCTTGTTTCTACCTGGCTGGTTGTGAACCTACATTCTCCACATTTGTCCAGACTCTTCACGTTAATAACCGAGCCTCTCACTTGGCTTTGCTGTACCCCTTCAGCTCTTGCATGGTAAGGAATGACTGTAACTCCAGGTTTAAAAGCCCGATGCTCCTTACCTATACGGATTCCTTCCTTGGATCCCCTCCCACTACAGCGTGTGAGCGCGCTCTCTCTCTCTCTCTCTCTCTCTCTCTTTGGGTCCAGCCCAGCCCCGGTTACATCTTGCTTGCAAATCTCACTAGACCCTGCGGATTTTGTTCCATTCCAATACCTGGGTTTCCTACTTCAATCTTTTGGCTGGCGTGGGAGGCAAATACAGTAACAGCTAATCTCACAAATATATACTTACATGTTATTCTCGGATAAGACAGTGGCCAGATATCCAAAAATTTTAGAAACTTTGTAACTAACAGTGTCACAACACAGTTGTTGGCTGTCTGACAGAAGTGAAATAAGGGGTAGCCACCATGCACCCTCCTGTCCCCACCCTACACTGTTAGGGATTTCCTGGCAGGTTGCTTTTGGTAGAGCACTCTGCTGCTGAAGATTAAGCAGATTGGAGCTCAGTGGAAGTTGTCCAACATTCCTATCTGCCTTCCATATCTATGCGGCGAGCACAGAACCCCCTCTCTATGTAATGTAAGGCAGAAGTTACATGTCATCTGGTGAGGATGACAGGTAGGCAATTGCAGTTATGTGCCTTCAGCCCTCATGAAGTGAATGCAGCATGAATGAGTCACTTTTTGAAAGGACCATGAGCAAATATCAGTCTCCACAATATCAGTGAGAGATTTTAACCAAGTAAAGGGCAGAGATTGCATGAAAATAAACAGGTTTCAGGTCTTCTTTTTATTTCCTCCAGGGTGCATTTCTGAACCTATACCTTAAAGTAAGTTGTTGTGTGTAAAAGAAGGAGTGTGTGTGGAAGGGGGTCAAGGAATGCAAAGCAACTCTAAAACTGAAGATTAAATATTAATCCTAGTAAAAGAAAGAACATTCAGAGGACAGGAAAAAATAAACCTCCCCATTTTGTGCACAGCATTATGATGGCAGCAACATTCAAGTGCTGTGCATTGTACTGGGTGCATTACATCTAGACTTAGACCCA